CTTAGTTGAGTATCTTAACAATGTCTTTGATGTTATTAAATATTTATTTATCTAATGACGTTGAATAATCAAAATTAGGTAGTCAACTTGAAGCACGAAAAGTTTATTAATAAAAATTATTTATGTACAGTATTTATACATTATTATTTATGAGGCTCCACATAAACGAAATTGGATGTCAAGTTTATGCGGCGTAATGGAAACACATGTCCGTAAAGACACATATTGACATTTCATTTATACTCCTGTGATATCATCGGGAACGTTTTAATTTAGATTTTTTAAATTGCTATTTAGATGTTAAAACGAGATGCTTTATATCTAAGTTGCTTACGTAGGTACATATCTGTTGACCTAAACTGTGATTTCATACATTATATTACTTTGTAGCATCCATGTTATTGAAAGAGCTATTATAATATAAAAGACAGTGATAGTTATGGGTGAAGAAAACCGAGGAGATAAAACGAAAATTGAATGAAGTAATCAAGTAGAAAAACTAGAGTCCACTTAAATTCAGTGGGAACTTGGTATCCGACCAGATATCACAGCACAGAGCTTAGCTTAGCTGTAGATCTTCAGAAACTTACCGGAACGCCTACCATTCCATGAACGAATGAATGTTAAAGTGACTGACATAATGAATGTTAATATTTGGCCACAATACTTTATCAATCTAGCAACACCAATCGTTCCCGCGATCTATAAGCATACTGCGTCATCTAGCTTAGTGTAGTCTTGAAAGTTTTCACTTATGGAATTTACTATGATGATGTATGTTACATACAATAGTAAAAATACGGTAAATATGAGTAGTTCGATAGCAATAACTAGTGATATTTAAACTGCTTTTGAGTACTAATGAAAAAAAAAACATATTATCAATAGATTTTCAGATTTAAAGGGATCTCCTCATTGAATGTCGTAAAGTGCGAGCAATTAAATGAATCGAAACGGGTTCCAAACAGTTTAACTTTATAATAACGACGGTCTCCATAAATTATATTTCGAGTTGTAATTTTAAACTAAATTATCATTTGAGTAAATACTTCATAAGTTGAGTAATAGCTGTGCTATATTATACTTATATGGCTGTAAACGACATAATATATTTGGTATTCTTTTTTAAACTGGCGACAATTTGACAATAGGGATAATAACTGTGTAATCGACAGCAAAGACTGTAGATAATTTATTAAAATTACTTTTAGCAAAGAAAAAGATTTATTTGTGACTAACGTACAAAAGCACAAGATACAAGAAAAACCAAAATATTGAGAAAGTAAAAAAAAAAATTAAAAATAAGTATAAAAGCCTCCTTAGGGCCATTTTTTTGATCCGTGGTTAACTCAACCATTTGTTTGACAAATGGTTAAATATCAGAAAAATATGTTTTTTGATTAACAGTTAGCCTAACCAATTGTCAGAATTACAACCATTTGTCAAAAAATTTAACCATCACTGGAAGCTAGGTTAAGTAAATGACCAATGGTTAAAAGAACAGATGTACAACTGCGTTGTATTAACTTGGTCCCTTGTTATTGTTTTTTACGTTGTTTTTATAACCTACATGATTTCATAGTGAATTTGGACATTAGCTATTTTTGGGATTTCGTTTTATGATGCAATTTCATAGGAAAATATTCATTGTCATTTTTGGGTTATAGGGTTATTGAAAATAAGTTATATTTTTATCTTGATCATCCTTAGTATATTTGTACTATATAAAATATTTTTTCTTGTTTCCACGGGCATATGCCAAATTATTCAATTATTAAAAATCTTATAAAATCCACGAATAGACAATACAAAAGGTAAATATGCCTATAGTACATAAAATACATAGTCCTCGATTTATTTTCCAACATTACAATCCCACACTTGGATACTATATTCTTTTCACGTATTTCTCTATCAGATAATCAAAAAATAAATATATGCTTTTTAATAAAAGTTAAGTTTAAAATAACTGGAAAAAAATATCTTTGTTGCTTTCTAACATTATTAAAGAAATTGCCTTATATTTCCTGAAAAATAACACAGTGCACACAACAGAACAACCATAAACATCCACACTGTTTGATAATCTAAAGATTTCTTTCGTCTATTTGATATTTGGAACAAAATTCTAATTTCAAAAATGGTATATAGTTCGCTCCGTTCATTAAAACCGTTAGTGTTGTCACCCAGAAAAAAATTACCCATGTCAATGTATAGCGAAAAAACGACTCATTGTGCTGGCAACAAATTGGCCAGTGGTTAAATTTGGCTATGGTTTAATTTGGCATCAAAAAACGAAATAGCGAGTTAACAACTTGTTAATGTTTTAACTATAGTCAAGTTAACAAATGGTGAAATGATATTTGACTACGGATCAAAAAAATGGCCCTTAAAGAGGCCAGTAGTAATATAACAAAAACATAGTGAGGCTCTCGGCAACAGACTGGTTAAAAAAAAAGTTCTATTTGATAATTGTATTTAATCTGTGAATCAGATAATAGGAATATATTAGACTAGACACGTAGTTTTTGCTTCAGTTTAAAATGAAAGTGCTTTTATAACGAACATTAAAGTTGGGTTAGGTTAGGTAAGGTTAGAACTAGGGGCTCGCTACGTCACAAATATGGTGTGACGTCAAACCACATTTCAACTCAATGTATCGCCTGGTATCGCCGTGATTTATTTATTACGCAAAAAATAAAAAAATATTTTATTGACGTGGATACGTTTATGTTTTCGTTCTACAGGGGGGTCATTCTGTGAGCAGGAGTATATGCACTAACGCCATCTATTGGCGTATAAGTGAACTATGCTTGCTCTGCAGGGGGAGGGGCATTCTGTCAGCAGGAGTATATGCACTAACGCCATCTGTTGGCGCTAGTGAATACTTTTTTCATTCAACAAATGAACGCAACGAATATTTATTTATTTAGTGTTTAGTGTCTTCAATTTGTTATTTTTTTTTTAGAATTATTCATTTATAAATGCAATTATGCCGAATCGTTCAGTTTTTAGAGTGCCAAAGAACATTGATAGACGTGAAGAGTGGTTAAAAACTATTCGTGATGTGTTTCCTAACCTGGATGTTTGTGAAAATTTTATCAATTACTCATATATCCATTCATACATAGACGTATCCACGCAAAAAATAGGGCTGTATCAATGATACAGCCAACCAGGGTTTTTTTTAACACCTTTGCTCGTAAAGCTGATGTGATTCCACCGGTTTTAAATATGTAAAGCGGGTCATAAAAAACGCGTGTGATACCAAAGCAAATAGTTAAGTTATAGTCCATACAAATTCCATAACAGTATTATTTGCCATTTCGCGCGCTGTTCCTTTTCAAATTTCGAACTAATCGCCGCGCGGCGCCAGTCAGTAGGCAGCGCTAGCGCACTGTTAAAATGGCGGAAAAGCAACAGTGTACATTCACAGATTGAGTTTATTTCATGTTTTTTTTCTGTTTCCTCGCAAATGTGTTAAAAAACGTCGTACGATATACGTGCGTATTGGTTATAACATGCTCGGCTCAATTACGCCCTCGCCTTCGGCTCGGGCTGAAATTCCGCCTCGCATGTTATAACCATCATATCGCACTAATATCGTAATGTACTGTTAATAATCTATCCGAAGGACTGATATACAAAAAATTTGTCATCATTCTATTTTTCATTTATATTTCTAATTACGAGTACTATAATCGAGCAAACAAATCATAACACAAATACAAGCTTTGTATTTAGACTATGAGGCTTTCGGTTGAATAAACCTTTGCAGTTTATCGCCTGAATAAAATGAATATACCTACTGTATGATCAAATAAAATTTAATGAAATTGAATCGAAATCGCTAAACATTCAGCGCGTCGAATGTGAGAGCCGTAAAGCTAAAATCTGTATAATCTGGTGTTGCGTAAATATATTTGGCGTTCGACCGTAAGTTAGGACATAAACAACATACATTATGAGCGCGTATCGAATATTGAAAAGTGTGGGGCTCGAGTAGGGGAGATTGTAAGGCTCAATTCATATGTACCGAAGACAGCGTCGACCTAGAGGTTATTCCTCTGTCAATCCATTTAACACTATATCCATAATCGAAACACATGATAGCGCTTGAATGATTGGAAGATATCCTTTACAATCAGTCTTATTCGGTAAAGGTGGAAAGTATAGTTTTAATAATAATATTTATTATTTATCTATCATAGTCTAGAGGTAAAATCAAATAAAACCTACTTCAAAACGTAATAAAGGTTTATTTCTTTGAAGCTCTGACACTGAAACAGGACTGCTGATAAAACGGTTATTTGTTTCTAAATACTCCTGTCAAAACTGTGATCAACATCTTTATTGAACCAGACCCAAGTGTCCCGATATGGGACATTTTTAATTAATGATATTTATATCATTGTGAATGCAAAAATTATCAAATATATTAATGTGATAAACTTTTTCATCGAATACAATATCGTACGTGCTTGAAACTACTAGAACCTTTTAGTTTTTAATCCGTTACTGTTTCTAACAGGCGCATTAACTGTGTCCTGACGTGTTTACTTAAGCTCCGTATTAGTATAATGTTAAAAAATAGCAGAAGTCTTTCTCTGAATTTGAATTATATATCATTTTTTTCGTCTACTTTCAAGCTATAAATTGGTGCAAAGATTAATATGGTGTATGTAGTGATTGTGCTGTAAACAGTGACTGTGTTTCTACATTGACAGTTATTTTGTTCGAATCAGCTGTGGTTCGACCTTGAACAATTGCTCGGTCATTCACCGTATTGAAAGTGAAAGTGTTTCAAGTGCGATAGCGATAATTAAATTTGACGTTGGCCGTTATCGATGTTTGGTGTATGCGTCTGTAGTTTGGGTCTATATCGGCGGTCCGCGGTTCAATACTGACTGTGACATACTTATTTTGCATTTGTGGTTTTTATATTATTTTTGTTTTTTTTTTTTTATTTATCTCCCAATAAACTATCCATATTCGATACTATGGCCCCCGGAAAGCTTAAGTGTGCTGGATGTCTGCAAGTCATTACCGACAGGCAGTACTTGCGATGCTGTGTTTGTTCGCAGTATTATGATATCATTTGTGCGAATGTGTCGGAACAACGTTTTCGCAACACGCTTACCGGACAACATAGACTTAACTGGAAGTGTGATGCGTGTAAGAATATGGAGCCGAAGGTAGATAATAGCAACACACCTCTTCGTGAGCACGACGATAAGGTTACGCGTCGTCGAGGTGCCTCAGTTCTGAGTCCGCCTGAGGAGAACAGCGATGCGCAATGGGACATGCGGTCACTCATTGAGGAGCTGCGTTTATTTCGTAAAGAAATGCAAGAAATGCGCATTCAGGTACAATCGTTTAATGAAACTTTGGGGGCGCTCATGTCCCGTGTCGATATCTGTGAAGATAGACTGGACGATCTAACGTTACGTATTGACAAACTGGAACGTTGCGATGCGGCTTCAGAATCGGTCAACAACAACACTGCTCTAACTAACACCATCGACTCCTTGAAGGCTGAGTTAAATGAGCGCGACCAAGAACTGCTTATGAATGATGTAGAAATTACCTGCATACCAGAACAGAAGGGAGAGAACTTGCAGCATTTTGTGGTAACTTTGGCATGCAAACTTGGAGTTCAATTAGAACAACGAGATGTGGTGAGTGCTGTCCGTGTCGGGCGGTCGCTGGACGTTAGTGGGGTTGGTACGTCGTCGTCGTCTCCACGACCTCGCCCCATTGTCGTCCGTTTGGTGCGACGTGCTGTGCGGGAAGACCTTCTACATGCAGCCCGTGTTCGCCGCGGGGTCACCACTGAAGGCCTTGATCTCCCTGGCCCACCTCGTCGGTTTTATATCAATGAGCGCCTAACTAGAATGAACCGTCTTCTGTTTCGTCAGGCGCGTGGGATCGGGGTGCGGCTTGGATGGCGTTTTATATGGACTAAAGATGGAAAGATATTTGGTAGTAGACAGCACGCTGGTCAGGGTGTTCCTCGTCATCGGCTGCGAAACCGGGCGGACCTCGTCCGGGTTTTTGGCCCCGAAGCCGTTGGTCCTACAGAAGCCTGAAAGAGCAAATACTTTTTTTTACGCTTTGTTGCTGTCTTTTTCTTTTCTTTTAACTTAGCTCAAAATTTTATTTATTATTATTTCATATTAAATTTTGAATATTGTTATGATTTTAAATTATTTATAAATTCATATTGTATTATTATTAATCTTTATAGCTGTTTTTATGCAAATTGTACTCGAATTTTTATTGATTATTATGTGTTGTTAGTCAACTATTTTTATAAGATAGAATTGCTTTTTAATTTGTAAATGATACGACCGCTTGTCTTTAGAACACTGACATTTAATTATTTTTATTTTATAATCTATTTCAATATGTACAAATATAGTATTCCAAAAAGTATAGTTATATAAAATCAAAGAGTATAATAAACCTGGTATCAAAAGCTATTTACATATTAGAGCACAGTTAGTCGTGAACATGGCCCCCGGCGGTGAAGACACCTAGTAATTTAGGAAACGACCAACTGTGCAAGTTTTCGGACTGGACGACGCAGGACCCCCCCTTTAGTGGACACATCTACTACTCGAACGATATTGTCCTTGCCAGGATACGTAGCTACTATACGTCCACGTGGCCAGCAACGTCTTGGTAAGGTCCCATCTACAACGCACACCAAATCTCCTATCTCCAGTTTCTGATATTTCTCTGATGAAGAGCGCCGTGGTACTAATGTTGGCAAGTATTCACGCACAAAGCGTTGCCAAAAATTATCGGCCAGATGTTGTGCCTTTCTCCATTGCGCTCGACTGGAAAGATCGGTATCGTCAAAACGTCGTGTCTGAAGGTCATTGGAAGTAGAGCCGATTAAAAACGAAAATGGCGTGAGAGCTTCTTCCGCATCACGGTCAACGGAGACATGAGTTAAAGGTCTTGAGTTGACAACTGCCTCCGCTTCCATTAGTAGAGTTTGGAAGACCTCTTCTCGTGGTGACCTGTCTTTCAACGTCGTAGCCAAAGCACACTTCACATTTTTTACCAATCTCTCCCAACATCCTCCCATGAATGGAGCCGATGGCGGAATAAATTTCCATCTAATCTGCTTGTTGGATGCAAACTCATAAACGTCGTTAATGATTTTGGAGGCCCCAACAAATGCTGTCCCGTTATCTGAATATATACATGACGGGCATCCCCGACGGGCAATAAAACGGCGCAGGCTCATAATAGCGGAATCCGAAGAAAGACTCTCCACTACCTCGAGGTGGACAGCTCTAATAGTTAGACAAGTATAGAGAGCCACCCATCTTTTCACATGTCTTCGGCCGATGGTAACACTGAGTGGGCCAAAATAATCCAAACCAACATAGGTAAATGGACGCTCATTGTAAGCCATCCGTACGTCAGGTAAGTCTCCAACTGGTGGTGTAATAGGCTTCGCTTTCTGGATCCTACAGACTTGACATCTAGTTGCAACGTGTTTGACAGCGGTTCTTAAGCCAATGATGTAAAATCTCTGGCGCAATTCGTTTACCACGAGTTCATTATTGGCGTGTGCGTATTTCATGTGGTATGAGTGAATTAACATCCTAGTGATGTGATGTTTTCCATCAAGGACAATGGGGCGGGACTCTACCGCATTCGAGGCGGAGGTGCGACCGGATAAACGGAGAAGACCGTCTTTATCCAAAAGCAAGGACAATTTCTTTAGCCTACTACTACGATTGGAAACGGAGTGTCCTGCGTGAATACAATTTATTTCATCTGCGAAAGAATCACGCTGAATAGATTTCAATAAATGGAGTTCCGCTGAATTTAGGTCGTCAACAGACAGTAAAAGAAAATTACGGTCGCAACGGAGTGTCGTATCAAAAGATTTCGAATTTTGAGGTAAGAGAGACCGAAACATTTTAGCTGACTGATGTGCTCGAGCTGTAGCTCTGAGCAGACGTACCCATCTGCTGAACCGACGATAGTCAGCTACCACTGGTGAAGTGGTAGACGGTTCCGCTGATGTACTAACTACACATCCAACTACTTTGGAAACAGTTTTGTATTCCTCCGCGGTCGGCGGTTTGTAAGTGGTTGGTTCACTGGGCCAGGAATCTTCCGGGAGAAGAAGAAAAGATGGTCCGGTAAACCAACGAGAACGAATAGAAAATTCTCTGGTTTCACGAGTAGCGTCATCTGCTACGTTTAGGCCAGTAGGAACGTACCTCCAGTTCTGTATATCGGTTAAATCGGAGATCTCAGCCACGCGAAAAGAAACAAAGGGCTTAAACATGCAGGCGTCGCTACGTAACCATTTAAGCACCGTTACCGAATCGGACCACAGAATATATTTGGAAGGCTTTCTCTTATGAGCCTCCAGAATATAAGAACCAAAGCGCGCTGCAATTAAAGCCGCTTGAAGTTCCATTCTTGGAATGGTTGCTGGTTTCAGGGGCGCCAGTCTAGCTTTACCGCCTATTAAAGCTAGCTTAATTGAACCGTCAGCCAAAGTAAAGCGCCAGTAGGCGACACAAGCATACGCTAATCCACTTGCGTCGGAAAAAATATGAAGTTGACTTTCTACAACAGGAAATCCTTCTGAATAACATCTAGGAATGACACCTCCAGACAGAGCATTAAGCTCCTGAAACCAAAACTTCCATTGTTGAATAAGAACTTCAGGCAACACATGGTCCCAATCTATACCTAGTTTCCAAGCTTTTTGGAAAAGAATCCGACCCTTAATTACCATGGGGGTAACTAGGCCCAATGGATCATAGATTGACATAAGTAAAGACAATACAGCCCGCTTAGTGTAGATTGCAGGTAGGCTGGGTATAGCTTTCAGGTAACACAAAGAATCATTAGTAACGAGCCAACTCAACCCCAGGACGCGTATTTGTGAAGGAGACGAGGGGCCTAACCCTACCTCAGATGCATCAACAGCGCGGAGGTCGGAGGGAATTAGAGACAAAGCGTCTTTATTATTTGATACCCAGGAACGCATCTCAAAACCAGCTGCTTTATGAACAGTTACGATGTCAAAGGCAAGGCGCGCTGCGGCCTCCACCTCATCCATGCTTCCAAGGTAGTCGTCCATATAGTGATCTTCTATGATGGATTTAGCCGCTTCTGGATAAGCGTGTTGAAAGTCTAACGCGTTTTTATTTTTTAAATAAAGAGCCGTACATGGGCTAGAAGTAGCTCCAAAAATCATAGAGGACATTCGATACTCTTGTAGAGGCTTTGAAGGGTCGTTCCTCCACAAAAATCGCTGCGCGTCACGATCCTGAGGTCGAATCTTGACCTGAGGGAACATTTCCCTTATGTCCGCCGTAAGGGCAACACAGCCTTCCCGAAATCTCATCACTATGGCTAGCAAGGGCTGCAATAAGTCGGGGCCCGATAAGAGCATAGAATTAAGACTTACTCCATTGCACTTTGCCGCTGCATCGTGCACTACACGTAATTTTTTCTTATGTGGGTGCACTACGCCAAAATGTGGGAGATACCATACTTTACTAGCTGTCGGTTGATCACTACAAATCTCCGCATATCCCTTGTCGATCATACCTTGGATGTTTTGTGTGTATTTCATTGCGTATGATTTATCTTTGATCATTTTACTCTCAAGACTTGAAAACCTAGATAAGGCGAGAGGTTTACTGTTGGGAATTATTTGAATATCATTTCGCCATAAAAGTCCAGTCTCAAATCGGCCTGAAGGTAAGCGCACCGTGGTATCTTCCAAAATATCTAGAGCGCGTTTGTCACTGGGACTGCGGTGAAGTTTCTTTTCTATACCGATCGAATCCAATTTATAATACTGTTTTATTAAAACATCCAAATTATGATCTTGTTTCTCAAAATCGATGTGATTGACGTATTCTACAGTATCTTTTTTGCCACCAATAAAACCAAAAAGAACCCACCCTAAGGGAGTGAGTATAGCAGCAGGCTCTGCTCTAGTTCCAGTGCGAATGGATTGAGGCAATAGCAAATGCCAATTGTCAGTACCAATGAGACAAGTTGGTTTCGCATTATCGTAACTTAATACATCAGTCAGGTCATAAAGGTGATTGTGTTGTTTCAAGTCGTTGATGTTTATGGATTGTGGCTTTAGATTGAGATTCGGAATAGTACGAGCTCGTATTTCGTAACTCTCGGAATTATATCTACCTTTTACTTTAACATTAATTAAACTGGTATTACACAACTTAGAGAGCCCTCCTACACATTGAATACACAAAGGTTCTATAGGCCTTTCATCAACCAACATATCAGCCACAGACTTATCTAACAATGTAGCAGAACTACCATCATCTAAAAGTGCAAAAGTGTTAACGCTACCCTTTTTACCTGTCAGAGTAACAGGAATTATTTTTAATAGTGGCTGTCCCTTGGTAATTAATGGCACAGAACTATGCGCCACAATAGCAGTATGTTCGCTAGCTTGAGGCGTAGACGATAAATGTGCATCAGACCTCAGTTTGTGTAATAATGTGTGATGCCGTCGATTCGCTGTACAACCGTCTACTTCACATCTCTTTTTACAATTTTTATATTGATGCGAACCTTTGCGTAGACATTTACGGCAAACTTTGTTGTCTATTACCCACTGCCAACGATCATCTAAGCTAAGAGACTTGAAATCTACACAATCAACAACTTCATGAGAACTAGTCTGACAATACTTGCATCCTTCTGTAACTTTTGTTATACTAGGGGAATTCGACGAGATCGCGTTAGAAAAAATTTTGTCTTTGATAGGTTTGACAGGTAGACTTTGACATCTGACAAATGTCGACTCTGACGTAACAAGACCGAATTTAGTTTGTAAACATGCCTCGTTGTCTAGGAAATCGGCTAGATTTTCCAACTTGAATTTACCAGAGTCGGCTTTTGCAGCGGCAAAATCAATCCATCTAGACCTGAGGAGAGGAGTTAATTTACCAATTATAGAATTACAAATTTCAGGCGACGCGAGATACTCGGGTAGTTTAAGTAACCGGATAACTTCGATGCAATTTCTAATACGACAGGCAAATATATTGAGATCGCGAGT